AGGGAGTCTTGCTAAGCGTCGTGAGCCTGCGTCGCGTCCTGTCTCGGTTGTTCGTCCTGGTCGTACCGGTCGTCGTGTTCCTCGTCCGCGTCAGCCGGCTGTCAACGACACACGCCTTGTAGCCCTGCGTCGGTCCCCTACTCCGGAGCGTACTCCTCTTCCGTCTCCCCCTGCGTCCTCTTTGCCTGACGTTGCGGACCCTGCGTCTGACCGGTTTCGTGCTGAGCACCCTACTGTCACGCGTCTGCTAGCCACTGTTGTCACTGACCCGTCGTTTGAGTCTGCTGCTGCGTCTGCCCTGGTCGCTGAGCTTGTTGACTTTGCTGCTGCCTGTCGTCTAGACTACGTTGCTAGTCTTGTTGCTGAGTCTGAGTCTGTCTGTCCTCCGTCCGTCGGGGGTGAGTGTGCTCTTGGCACAGACGTCCTTGAGGACAGGCACGAGGACCTTGAGTGTCTTGCAGCCGCTGCGCCTCATCTCGTGGCCATGCTGCTTGCCCCTGAGGGAGACCCGTATGCTGTAGACATCCCGACCCCGTGCTCGTATGCTGAGGCGATCGCGGGTGAGTACTCCTCTCAGTGGCAGACAGCCATGGACGCAGAGATGGCATCCTGGAAGTCCACAGGCACTTACGTCGATGAGGTTCCCCCTCCCGGGGCAAACATCGTCGATGGCATGTGGATTTTCAGGGTGAAGCGGCCGCCGGGTTCTCCGCCTGTCTTTAAGGCTCGTTACGTTGCTCGAGGCTTCAGTCAGCGAGAGGGAGTCGACTTCTTCCAGACCTTCTCCAGCACCCCGAAGATGACTACTCTTCGGGTGCTGCTGCACGTTGCCGCTCAGCGTGACTACGAGCTTCACTCGCTGGACTTCAGCACAGCCTTCTTACAGGGCAGCTTGCACGAGGAGATCTGGCTGCGCCGCCCACCTGGCTTCACTGGGTCGTTCCCTCGTGGTACCCAGTGGAGCCTCCGGCGGCCAGTCTACGGTCTCCGCCAGGCGCGACACACTGAGTGGCACGACACACTGAGGACTACACTTGCGGCTCTTGGGTTTGCTCCTTCGACTGCTGACCCGTCGCTGTTCCTGCGCACCGACACTTCGCTGCCGCCGTTCTACATCCTCGTGTACATCGACGACTTGGTCTTTGCTACTGCTGACACTGAGGCACTTGCTCTTGTGAAGTCGGAGCTGCAGAAGAGACACACGTGCACAGACCTGGGTGAGCTGCGCAGTTACCTTGACTTGCAGATCACCCGGGACAGAGCACGCCGCACCATCACCCTGACTCAGTCACACATGGTGCAGCAGGTCCTTCAGCGCTTCGGCTTCCCCTGATCCTCGCCACAGTCCACTCCTCTGGCTACAGGTCACTCGCTCTCAGCTCCACCTTCGGACGAGTCCGTAGAGCCGAGTGGTCCTTACCCGGAGTTAGTGGGCTGCCTCATGTACCTGATGACCTGCACTCGTCCTGACCTCGCGTACCCTCTTGGCCTTCTGGCCCGTTACGTGGCTCCTGGTCGGCACCGAAAGGTGCACATGGATGCTGCGAAGAGGGTACTGCGTTACTTGTGCAGTACATCGGGCATGGGGCTCGTGCTTGGAGGGCGGAGAGACGTGGTCCTCACTGGGCACTCTGACGCTTCTTGGGTTGACGACCAGGCTACGCAGCGGTCGTCACAGGGTTACACTTTCAGCCTTGGCTCTGGTTCTGTTTCTTGGCGTTCTACTCGCTCGTCTTCTGTTCTCAGCTCTAGTTGTGAGGCTGAGATCTACGCCACCGCCATGGCTGCTCAGGAGTTACGCTGGCTCACCTACCTGCTGACCGACCTGGGAGAGCGGCCTCGTTCTCCTCCAGTTCTGTACGTCGACAACAAGGCTGCTATTGCCTTGTGTGTGTCGAAAGGCTAGGCCAAAACGAGAAACAGGCAAGAAGGGTTTTCACTAACAAGCATAGGGATACATATAGCAAACCCTAGAAGGGCTGTACTTGCTATAGAGTACCCCACTGCAGGCTAGACAACCATCACATTCTGACACACCCCCATAGTCAAAGTGGGGTACAATCAACACAACAAGCAGGCAGAGCAGTAGGTTCACAAATACAAGCAAAGCTAGAGGCTATCACAGAGGGCAAGTGAGGAGGAGGAGAAACTGTGGAGGCGAGAAGATGGGAGGCGACGGCTGAAGCTGCAGACACACGGGCAGCAGGAGTGCGCCGCACTGTCGCTACCAGGCTAAACCCGGACTACACGGCGACAGGGGGTCGCAGCTGGCTCGCTGTGCTCCCAGGAGTGCACACACTGTGGCTACCGGGCGCAAAGCCCAGGAATACACGGCCACAGGGGGTCGTGGCTCTCTGGACTTCAGGCGCTGCGGACGACAAGTCGACGACCTCCACTCAACTTCCCCCAGCTGTCCCACCCCCTTTTCACACACCCCCTTGCTGCACCCCTAGCTCCACTCCCACTACACCCCCCTAGCGCCACTCCCTCGGCTCCCACACACCCACCCCCCTCAGCGGCAGCTGCAGCAGTGGGAGACGGAGAAGGAGGAGGAGGAGGGGACGGCGCACACACCCGGCACCCCCATACCCGCCACCCCCAAACCCTAAACGCAGGCGGCGCGTAGGGGCGGCGTGCGAGCGGAAGGGGGGCGGGGCGCGGGTCCCTGGGGAGCTGCTACGGGCGCCGGGTAGGGCGGCTCGCGGGCCCCCAGGGCGCCTCGACGGGCGGTGGACGGGAGGGGGCGACGCGCGGGCCCCCAGGGCGCCGCGACGGGCGACGGGGAGGGGCGACGCGCGGGCCCCTTGGGCGCCTCGACGGGCGACGGGATAGGGCGGCCCGCGGGCCCCCAGGGCGCCGCGACGGGCGACGGGAAGGGGAGGCGACGCGCGGGCCTGCGGGACGACGCGATGGGCTCCCGGGGGCGACGTGACGGGCCTGCGGGGCGACGCGACGGGCTCCTGGGGGCGGCGCCACGGTCGACGGGGCAGAAAACCGCCGCGCGCCTCGGGGCGCACGGCGGGCAGAAAACCGCCGCGCGCCCCGAGCGCGTGGCGGGAAGAAAAATCCGTCGCGCGCCACGGGGCGCGCGACACACAGAACAGCAGCGGAAGCTAACGGGCGGGACCACCCACAGGATCGACCCAGGAGGGTCGACCCGCTCTGTGTCGAAAGGCTAGGCCAAAACGAGAAACAGGCAAGAAGGGTTTTCACTAACAAGCATAGGGATACATATAGCAAACCCTAGAAGGGCTGTACTTGCTATAGAGTACCCCACTGCAGGCTAGACAACCATCACATTGTGACAGTGTGAGGAGCACAGACTGGAGCACAGAACGAAGCACATCGCTCTGCGTTACTTCCTGGCTCGAGAGTTGCAGCAGCGTGGTCAGCTTCGTCTTGCACACGTGGCCACTCGGGCCAACACTGCTGATATATTCACCAAGGCACTTCCGTCTGGTGATCATCAGCGCTTTTGTACTTTGTTAGGCCTTGTGCCTACGTTTCCACACTTGCTGTAGCCTTTGTGTGTACTGTGCTCTATATTTATACCGGCACGCTTGCTCTTGCTAGGTATTGATCACTGTACTGCTTTTGTTGCATATATATATATCTCTGCATGTGGACTGGCCTTGTGGCCCTTTGCTTGTGCTCAGTGTGTGTGGTGACGTTGTGATCCACCCTGAGCTTGTTTTGCGTTTCTTGACTGGTCGTGTGACCCTTGTTCTCCCCCACTTTGCCTATGGGGGTGTGTCAAACTGTATATGTTATATACTTGTGTAGGCTGTAGTGGGGTAGCCCATAAAGAGTACAACCCAATGTTGGGGTTGGGGTATGTACCCAACTCTGTTTCAATTCAAGTCATTCCTGTCTCTAGTTTCTAACATTAGTGACATTGGTTTTCCCCCTGTTATGAATTAACTTGAAGACTGCGCAGATTAACAAATACCTTACGAGAATGTTGTCCCGCCCCCGACCGGTTAATGTATGTTGTAAAAGTCAAATAGGCTTCAATATAATTTGAATCTAATATTTGGAAGAATTCCGGGAAAGTATGCATCAGCATTTGCATCGTGTTGATAGGGTGTAGAAGCGAAGGAGAGAGTGAAGTAGAACCAGTTGGTCAGGGAGGGCAGGTCTAGGTTGGCCATGGGATGGGACTAGGGCATGCGGAAGGGGTTCAGCCGCACCTGCCAGGAGAGAGGCATGGAGAGGGGCAATGGGAAGGATGGGGAGACATGGAGAGGGGCAATGGGAAGGATGGGGAGGGATGAAGAGGGGCAAGGGAAGGATGGGGAGGGATGAAGAGGGGCAAAGGGAAGGATGGGGAGGGATGAAGAGGGGCAAAGGGAAGGATGGGGAGGGATGAAGAGGGGCAACGGGAAGGATGGGGAGGGATGAAGAGGGGCAATGGGAAGGATGGGGAGGGATGAAGAGGGGCAAAGGGAAGGTTGGGGAGGGATGAAGAGGGGCAATGGGAAGGATGGGGAGGGATGAAGAAGGGCAACAGGAGGAATGGGGAGGGATGAAGAGGGGCGATGGGAGGGATGGGGAGGGATGAAGAGGGGCGATGGGAGGGATGGGGAGGGATGAAGAGGGGCAACAGAAGGGTGATGAGAGTTGTGATAAAGCATACATTGCCCTCTTTTTCTTCCGATGTTCAACCCCTCTGGTTTCAAACCATCTACTTCTTGAAGTCGCCTACCTCTCTTATGACAGGCTACAGCACAGTACAACCAGAGACCTTTGAGGGGCACTGCAGCACTGGCAGTTGCTTCTGCTGTTGCTACCGAAACTGCTGGTGGTGGCAATGCTGCTGCTGTCGCCATCGCCGCCGCCGTCGCCGCCGCCGCCGTCGCTGCTGCTAAAGCTGGTGGTTGTGGTGATGGTGGAGGAGGAAGGGTGCTGCTGCTGCTGCCAGGTGATGGTCGTGGAAGGTGCTGCCCGCACACCCTACTATGAGCGTACACCTCCATGCCACCTGTGCCAGCACCAACACCCTACATGCCACACGCCACTCCTTGTTGCCTTTCAGTAGGCTGTGCCTCGGCAAGGTGTGGTTTGACGGATTGTGGTTCGGCAAGGAATGTTCGGGCACGCAGTGGTTCAGGAGGAGGTGGATTGCAGGGCTCTAAGTTGGGAGGATGCGGAAACAGAATGCGCTTGCTGTCCCTGCAGAGGAGGTCGGTGCGGGGGCAGTACGAAGGTGTGGTGCGGGGTAGCGGGGACAAGGCAACACAACAGAGGGTGTGAGGTTGAGGAGGAGTTAAGGCAGGGCGTTGGGTGGCACGTATAGCAAGCAGGCACGAAAACAGGCGTGCAGGTGCATGAGTCAGAGTTGGGCCAGCAGTCATAGGGGTGCAGATGAAAAAAGACGAAGAGGAGAGGCATGTAGGTGCATGGTGTCCGGCGTGAGCCTGAATTGATTGGGCCATGGATGGAGCAAGTCGGAGAGGAAAGGGCTGCCCCATTTGCACCACATGTCTTCCCTCACGGAACTTTCAAGTGTCGCTGCATTGAGCCTAGAGCTGGGTTGTGCAGTGAAATGGCAGGGCCAATGAGGTGAAGACACGTGTCAACTGCTGACAACAGCACTGGCAATCACATGTGCGTGAGGTGAAGGATGCAATGCACTCACCACATGGCACCCGTCTAACAGCCCTCCCGAACATGTGGCAATGAGGTAAAGACACATGCCCACTCCCAGCAGCAGCACTCTCACAGACATGTGCATCCATCATGCCATGCATTCCCCCCAAGGCACTCATCCATCCTGCGGGCCTCACATTGACATGCAGGAGGCAATGAGGTTCACACACACGTCTACCCCCGGCAGCAGTAGACACAGCTCCGCCAGTGCTGCCACCTCTTCAGCCACCTCTTCCGCCCCTGGTGGTGCATTGCGTGGTGAGAGGAATGGTGGGAGGGAGAGGCGAACGGAAGAGGCGGGAGGGAGAGGCGGGGGGGAGAGGCGGAGGGGAGAGGTGGGGGGAGAGGCGGAGGGGAGAGGTGGGGGGGAGAGGCGGAGGGGAGAGGTGGGGGGGAGAGGCGGAGGGGAGAGGTGGGGGGGAGAGGCGGAGGGGAGAGGTGGGGGGGAGAGGCGGGGAGGAGAAGCGGGATGGAGAGGCAGGGTTGAAAAGTCACAAGTGCCAGTGGTAGTGTGCCTCCCTGTGTGACTATGCATGAATGCCCACCAAGCACATGGATGCAGAAGGAGGGGCGAGTGCGCAGCCCACACCCCCCCGATTGATGCTGCCAATGCGGCTGATGCTGCCCCTCTGCAAATGCGCTCTGTTCCCCTTCCCCCCTCACAGCCCCCTTCCAGCTGCTGTGTCCGAAGGCGTGCAGCTTAGAGGAGGAGGCAGAGTGAAGGGCTGGAGGATCAGGTGCAGGCCGAGCAGGATGGTGAGCGGCTGGTGGGGGTGGAGGGGAGGAGGAGAATGGGGACAGATGAGTGAGAGTGATATTTGAATTGAGTTGCAAGATGTGATGGAGCAGGTGCAGGGCGAGCAGGATGGTGAGCAGCTGGTGGGGGGCAGATGGGGTGGTGGGATGGTGAGTGTGGTTGGGTGGGGAGTTTTGCTTTGCTGTTAGCCAAGACAGGGTAGTTATCAAGTGCAGTTAGTAAGCATGGTTGAGATGCAGGAAATCATTTGTCAAATGCGCAATCTATAAAGGCGTGTGAAAGGAGCCAAGCAGCTATTGGGGTAAATCGCCTATTGCCTTTACCCATAGCGCTAGTGAGCAAGTGCAGCAAGATAAGGAAGTGCCCATACCGTACCATACCTCATAATTGTGCTCCATGCCCATACCGTACCATACCTCATGCTTGTGCTCCATGCCCATACCGTACCATACCTCATGCTTGTGCTCCATGCCCATACCGTGTGCAGCAGCAGCGCAGCGACTGAGTCGAGGGGAAGGCCCCTCCAAAGATAGTATTCGCGCCAGGAGAGCGGAGAGAAAGGGAAAGCAGGGAGGGAGGGCCGCAGCGAGGGATGAACGCGTGGAGGAGGGTGGGGGGTTGGGGGCGGGCGTCCATCACGCGGGCCCTCATCAATGGCGCGTAGTAGGTCCTCAAGGGGTGAGCAGCCTACCAGGGCAGCAGAGTGGATGAGACGAAGGGAACAAATGTTCCACATGAAGTGCGCGTATGACTTGGGTTGGGAGAGCGAATGTGTTTGAAGAGCAACGAATGTGTTCAGGTGGTAATGAACAGAGGGCCCAACGGAAGATGAGGTGGATGCGAAGTGACAAATTGAGAGTGGGGCTCAAAGTGAGAGAGTGGGAGAGGGTGGAGAGAAGGGGAGGAGTGTGAAAGGGTGAGAGAAAGAAAGACAGAGAGTGCGACAGTGGGAGACAGAGAGTGCAGGAAGGTGGAGAGAGTGAAGCATGAAAGAAGTGGGCACCTTACGGACCCCAGAGGCCAGCGTCAACATAGGGACCGCAGACATGCAGATGGAGGGAGGTGAGGAAGGAGCACATGTCGTGAGTCCCCTGCTCCACCTGCACTTCACATGCAGCACACAGGCAGAGGGTGGAGAGGCACGCCCCATTGCAGATGACAGCACAGCACGGAGCAGCACGGCACAGCACAGCACCGCACCGCACAGCACAGCACGGCACAGCAGCACACATCACAGCAGCACCGCACCGCACAGCACAGCACGGCACAGCAGCACACATCACAGCAGCACCGCACAGCACAGCACAGCACAGCACGGCACAGCAGCACACGTCACAGAAGCACCGCACAGCACAGCACAGTCAGGATGAATAGATGAGCGAACCCAATTCGGATCTGTTCATTTTGACCCGGGCCGGACCTTTGTTTGGGGGTTGCGGCCCGGGTCAGGCTGAACCAGGTTCAAAGCAGCAAACCAACGAAGTTTGACATTTGCGGCCTTGACCGGCCCGAGGTTCGCCCCGAGCCACCATGAACCTCATGCGGCCCACCCTGGTCCCTCGTGATCAATTTCGTGAGGAACCTTCTAGGGCTTATTTTGATGCTCCCAGTCTTCCTCATGCTGGCTAGCCTAGTTCCTAGCATTGCTGCACACCAACCCACTTATTGTTGGACCAATCTGCATAATGAGGACATACTTAATATGTACAAAACCGGCACCATACAGGATTCACGTTATTTGACATATTTGAATCTCTTGGCCACTTAGGGCGACGTCAGGTTGTACAAATTCTGTATGCTCAACTCCGTTTCGTCACGCTGCAAGACGGTAAAGCTTGAGAACCGCTTCCCACCGTGTGGAACCGTCCAAGAACTGTAAAGGTGCTGAGAAATGTACAACCTGACGTCGCCCTTAGCTTGTCATTCCCTGAAAATCGAACTCCTGATCTGGTAATCTTGCACAAAATTAACAGCACGAATGTCATAAAAAAACCTCAATATTCGGCAGACGAGTATCCACCGTATTTGAATACTCGGCAATAAAAATGTACCGTGCCATGCGAATTCGTTTCTTATTCACGAATACGGCCAGAAACTGAATACCGTGAAGTATGCTTACAGGCTTAGAGATGTGACTACAATGAGAATAGGTTGAGCCGAACACGAACCGGACTGACCCGGGCATACAAAGCTTCGGCTCGAACCTGTAACTTCTCATGCGCGCAAACCTGTAGGGTTCAGTGCAAACCCGTTTAAAAGGCGAATGTGTCCGCGTTCGCCCTGTTTCCCGTGAATGCCACGAACATCGCGAACGCGTTTGTGATGAACGATTTTGGCCATAAAAAGCCCGCGTTCGGTTCGCCACGAGCGAGTTCGTGACGAACCGAACGGGGGTTCACGATTTTGCTCAAGCCTACCTGATACAAATGGCCGAACCTGGGCCGGAGAATTTTGTGTTCTGCTCGAGCCTGCCCGTACCAAGTTTTGGCAATGTTTTGCAGTCTGCCCTACTAACTTCGACCAGGCTGAACCAGGTTTGGTCCATCCATTTGTATTAGACCAGGCAAGTTCAGGTCAAGCCTACCTCACTGCACCACACCGCACCTGGGTGACCGAGAGGTGCAGGAAGGGAAAAGGCAGGTGCACCACACTGCAACTCACAATCTAAGTTGCCAAAAACGCTAGAGACCCTTTGCGTTTAGCGGATATACGCTGGCGTTTACACACTAAACGCTAAACACCAGCAAATACGCTAAACGCTGGCAAATATTTTTTTGGGGCAGCCCGACCTAAAAAAATTGTGGAATAACACCCTAGATTCCCCCCCTATAATAGCCCTGGCGGTAGGAGAGTATTATGTAGTAATGTGTGTAGGAGTTGCAATCTAATTGTGGGGTAAAAATATCACCTCTGAAACATAACACCCTAGATTCCCCCCTATAACAGCCCTGGCGGCTGTTTTTGCCCTGCCCGGGGAAGTTTTTTCCCTGCCCGAAAAAGCGTATGTCCAAATCGCCCCCTAAGCGGATAGCTTATATATGCTAGCGTATATACGATAAGCGTATATACGCTAAAAGCGTATTTTGCAACTTAGCTCACAATACCACACCGCACCTGGGTGACGGACTGGTCCAGGAAGGGAAAAGGCATGTCCATGACAGCCGGCGCTTGCTGCTGCTGCAGCGCCAGGCGACGACACTCCCTCCCCCGCTCGTGCAGCTGCCAGTGCCCCTCCTGAGGGGATGCATGCCACGTGGGGCATGGGCCATGGAGCATGGATCGTGGGCCGTGGGGCATGGGGCGTGGGGCGTGGTGCATGGGGCATGGGGCATGGGGCATGGGATGTGCAGCATGGGGCATGGGGCATGGGGAGTGGGGTATGGGGCATGGGGAGTGGGGCATGAGGCATGGGCATGGGGCCTGGGGCGTGGGCGTGGGGCATGGGGCATGGGACGTTGGGCATGGGGCATGGGCATGGGCATGGGCATGGGCATGGGGCATGGGCATGGGTATGGGGCATGGGCATGGGCATGGGCATGGGCATGGGCATGGGGCATGGGGCATGGGGCATGGGGCATGGGGCATGAGGCATGGGCATGGGGCCTGGGGCGTGGGGCATGGGGCATGGGACGTTGGGCATGGGGCATGGGCATGGGCATGGGCATGGGCATGGGGCATGGGCATGGGCATGGGCATGGGCATGGGTATGGGCATGGGCATGCGCATGGGCATGGGCATGGGCATGGGCATGGGCATGGGCATGGGCATGCGCATGGGCATGGGCATGGGCATGGGGCTGTCGGGGGCAGTGCTGTGGGGGCCAAAGCTACGTGCGCGCGACCAGGGCCTTGGGGCGCATGGCAATGAAGGACGAAGGGCTGGGGGGCGATCGGGGGGATGGTGGGCCCTTGGCGACTGGTGGCGGGCATGAGCTGCGCGCATGAGCTGCGCGAATGAGCTGGCGCGCAAGAAACCTCGCGCTAGTCACAGCGTGCTCGCCTAGTTCCAGCTCCCCTGTACGGCACGGACCTGGTGTCGCCTGCTACAGTAAATTACGACTCCGCATTCGCCGCAACGAATGCTGCCGTCTCATGGCGACCCGCATACGTAGCACTGCCACCTCCGATGAGTCATCGAGATCGCTACTCAGAATAACGACAGCGCAAGATATCTCACTCGGTAGCGTCGGTAGCGCTCGGTAGCGCTTGGTTTTCGCTAGACGACGCTACCGAGTGAGTCAGCAAGCTGACCGCGGGCAAAAAAATAAACCCATGGCTTACGGCATGCCATTCGGGAGCCTCAACCCTAAAATTTTAGGGTTGATGCTCCCGAATGAAATGCCTTCCGACTGGGGTTTATTTTTTTTCTTGCCCGCGGTCAGCTTGCTGACTCAATTGCACTGCCAGCCGCTGGCAGTGCAACACATATTCCAGCACCGTAAAAGCGGCGGGAGCGTACAATCATGGGAAACCTCGTAAACTAATAACCACTCGCTGTGACTGCACCAAGAACCAAGCGAATAATCAATGGCACGAAATCTCGAGAATCAATGGCACCCAAGTGACTACGGGTTTCCTCTGAGTGCGTCTCTCGTGCGTTACCGAGTGCGAATCATGCTGTTGAGACGTCAAGGGTACGGATCGGGTGACAGTTGGTGATGTAGCGAGACGAAACTGTACAAGCAAATTACTTGGGCTCAGCCTAACGGAAATAATGCGACCAAACCCTGGTTACAGCGTTTCGCCAAGAAACAGCACAACAAGGTTTTCGTCAGTGACGTCCTACAAACATTTCATTCATGATCTTCTTTGGCCCTTCCTGTTTAGCTCTCCGCCATGGTTCGCGATCCCTCCACTCAGGAACCTTTCAGCTCTACAATGTCAACCTTAACACTGTCAGTTTCAGGATCTGATTATCTTTTCGGGGTCTTCTGAGCACGAGCATTCTATCGACACCAAAATAGTGTTCACACAGAGAACATCGGTTCGTCGTTTAGTCTCCTGCAAGATCCTGTTTTTCAGCTAATGAACTACGCAGAAGGTCAAAGACATTCAGCTGTTTGGTCTAAGGATGTGAAAGAGACTGCTGAGCGACCATCAAGAAAGCATCAGAAGTTTAATGCCGGGGTTTTTCAAGACTGGAAGTACAGATTCAAGGAAATTACTCGGCGAAATGTTTTCAGATTATCAGTTTTCTCAGTCATTCAACGGCAATCAAGGCAGCGTCGTACACCTACGAGAAGCAAGGCAGAACAAAGTTTTTCAGCAAGGAAATATACGACGGGGGATCATCAAGATTTGGCCTTCGTAACCATGGCTACCGAAGCGGAAGTTATTTCTTCTACCAAGATTTTGGACGCATTGTGGAGCAAGGAAACAGAGGCTGAGATTCTTCAGAGAGCTTTATCTACAAAGTCAAGAGAATTTGACGAGGAAACACAGGAACTATCTTTGCAACTAGAAGATGTTGCTGGTTTACAAACTTTGGGAAGTCTTCCCCGTGGAGATCTGGGTGTTTTCCTTCGAAGAGAAAGAGCTACTGATGGCGAAGTACTTGTTTCACCGACCCTTGACAAGCTTGGAGCAGTTAGTCGCACATTTCTGCATCTGCCACTGTCTTCAATCTCTACTAGAACCGATCTTCGCCGTCGCATTCAGATCAAGAAGGCATTCAGATCTCGCCAGAAGGTTTTTCCAATCAAGAGTGGTGTCAGACGTGCAAGGACGGACACATTTGGAACAAGCCTGAAACAGCACAAGTGGCAAAACTGCTCCCCTCTGACTCTGACGGAGCTGAATTGTAACAACAATGCAATTGGAAATTCAAGCGGGCAGGCTGCAATTTTTATGCATCTGATATATAAACCACCGTAGAGAGATCCGCGAGGGTACGGTATGATTGTTTGTACCTAGGCCCTCGAGCACCGGTTACGACCGACGGTGTTTTTGCGTTGTACGTTGTATAATGCACTTTCACCTACCAAAAAAAAAAAAAAAAGAAGTCCTCCGTTACCCTTTCCATACGCAATTCGCGAAAAGCTCGGTGTTCATGTGGGTGCGGGGTGCACAATCGTTACACCGACAATTCTGGCCCGAAAGTGTGAGCGGTGCTGTGTCGCATCCGCTTGTGTCACAATCTGCGACGACATTGAAAGTTCGCACTGGCATGCCATCGAGCAGGGTTTGGGGTTGTTGCTTCCCGCGTCGCCTGTCGTCCTTGGGTGCAGTCTCGTTGCAAGGCGTGTTTCACAAGGAAGTCATAGTGCGATGCCAACCTGTTCCCCCAACCCGCCAGTTCAGTTCCAAAAGTCTTGTTTCTGGTTTGACAAATTCGGCGTTCCCGCACGCACCTTCACTAAAGCAAAGCCAACTTGAGGTAGTCGTGAACTAAAATTCAGAGCAACGAGCCCCGTTCGTCGATTACTAGCTTTTCCACGCAGTAGTCGCTGGCATTTTTTTTTGGTCGCGCGGTCCATTGCACGGAGGTTATCGTAGGCCGCAATGGTCGCCGTGGAACGCGGAGAGCTCGGCGACGCCGCGCCTCCGTCGCTGCAGCGCCTGTGCCTGCGGGCTGCCGTCAGCAGCGCCACGTGGCAGCGCCAGCCGCGGTCGATGGAGCGCCTGCCGTCCCCGCTGGCGTCGGCGCTGCTGGCGGAGCTGCTCGCCGCGGGACGCATCACGCCGCCGCTGCTCGAGTAGGTTGCGAGGCTCTCTGCGCACGCATGATACCCCGTTCATTCCCTCCCTTAGCTGCGAGGCTGCGAAGCTCTTTGCACGCTCACGTACCCGCTCATTCCCAGCGGCGTCAGCGCTGCTGGCGGAGCTGCTCGCCGCGGGGTGCGTCACGCCGCCGCTGCTCGAGTACGCTGCGAGCCTCCCTAGGCCCGCAAGAGCACGTTCATTCCCTCCCCTCCCCTCCCCTCCCCTCTTCATACGCGTCACGCCGCGCTGCTCGAGTACGCTGCGAGGCCGCGAGGCTCTCTGCGCGCTAACATAGTACCCCGTTCATCGCCTCCCCTCCCCTCCTCATACGCGTGACGCCGCCGCTGCTCGAGTACGCTGCGAGGCTAAGGCAGACTCTCTGCGCCCCCACATACGCCACTCATTCCTCCCCGCGTAGCCTTTTCTGTGAGGCTGCGAGGCCCCGCTCTCCGTCCCTGGATAGCGCACTCCATCGTTTCCTCCCCCCATCCCACCTCCAGGCTCTTCGCCCCCTCAGCGGACCACGTGGACCTCTCCTGTATCACACTGGCTTTTATACCGTTTGGTAACTGGAGTGACATAGAAATGCCCTTCCTCTCGTCTCGTCCCCGCACCCCACCCTCCTCGCAGGTTGTTCGCCCCCTCAGCGGACCACGTGGACCTCTCCTGCTCGCCTTGGCCATTAGACTAACTAGCAGTGGGCTACACGAGTGAATTGCACATGCCCCTCCACTTCTCTCGTTCCCCCCCCCCCCCCACCCCACGCCTCCTCGCATCGCAGGCTCTTCGCCCCCTCAGCTGACCACGTGGACCTGTCCTGCCCGCCGCTCGCTGCGCCTGCCGTCTCCCACACGCCAGCAGCGCTGCAGGGCCCCCACGCGCCCCCGCACTCTTCCCCCCACGCCACGCCCACGTCTCCCGTCCCTCCCCCATTCTCGCCCTCCCTCTCCTCATTCTCCTCGCTCCCACCTGCCTCCTATTACGGCATTCCAGACCCGTCGGCAGCACTTTCCCCGGCGCCTCCTCTCTACGCCATGCCCCCCGGCCAATCCATAGACGCCACGTGGCTCGCCTACCTGGCAGATTTCCGCTGCCTTCGCTCCCTCCGGCTTGACAACTGCCGCCACGCCACCGACTCTGCTCTCAGCATGCTCTCAGGTATTCCAGAGGTTCTCTCTCAGGTGCTCAGGTCCGTACTTTTTGAGGTACTCTTTCAAGTGCTCCCTCAAGTGCTCCCTCAGGTGCTCCCTCAGGTGCTCCCTCCGATGCTCTCTCAAGTGCATGCTCCGGTAACTACGGAGAGCACCTATTGAGAACTCCTCCCATGTTTTGTCCTATTGCTACTCCCTACTTACTTCCCACACCCCCGCCATCCCGTCGTCCACCAGGTCCCTGCCTCCCCTCACCCCCCTCATCCTTTCAGTCTCCCCCGTCCCAACATTCCACACAGAGAACAAACTGCCTTCCCGCATTGCGATCTCACTCCTTTCCAAGCTCTCTTCTCCCCACCATTCCTCCCTCCCCTCTGTTCCGAACCACCCACCACCGCTCCACCTGTTAGATTGTCTGAGCATTACCAACCACCCTCCCGTTATGCGCTCTCATTTCGTTTTCTCAAAGCGCTCCCCCCCTTACCCCACTCCCCTCTCCTCCCCCCCCCCCCTCCTCTCCTCCAACCCGCAACCACCCACGAGCGCTGCACGCGTTGGAGCATCTCAGTCTCACCAACTGCCCTCTCCTCACCGCTGCCTCATGACTCTCTCAATCCTTTCCAACCTCTCTTTCCCCCTTCGCACCTCCCCCTTTTCTCCCTCCCACCCCTCCCCCCAGCACTGCACGCCTTGGAGCATCTGAGTCTCACCAACTGCTTTCTCCTAACCGGCACCTCATCGCGCTTTTTCTCCTCTGTTTTCGTTGTCCCACCTTCCTCCCTTCCATCCATCTCCACTCCCTAGGCCTGCACGCCTTGGAGCATGTGAGTCTCACCAACTGCCCTCTCCTCACCGCCGCATCGCTCACCGCCATCCTGCCGCCCTGCCTGCCCGCCCTGCGCTCCTGCTGCCTCTCCGGCACCGCTGTTGGCATGGGCGAGGGAGGCGGGGGAGGAGGCGGGGGCAGCGAGCAGTGGGGCGTGGCAGTGAAGGGTAGACGTCGAAGCAAGGGCAGCAAGACTAGTGGCAGTGTTGGTGGTGGTGGCAGCATGGCAGCACCTGCTGCATTCAACACACCATCTCCTTCCTCCAACTCTCCACCCGGTGCTTCTAGCACACCAGAGAGCTCAGCATGTGTGCCCGCAGCAGCCCCATCAGTGATCTCTCTGCTCGCCATGGCCCCTCACCTCACTCACCTGGAGCTGGGCGGCATGCACCACGCGCTGGATGATAACGCCTTTGAGAAACTCACGGTGAGTGGGAATGTGCGTTGCGCTAAGCCATGCTCCATGCCCCATGCGCCATGCTCCCTCTCTCCCACACCCCTCAAGCATGACAACTCACCTGCGGCACCTGGAGCTTGCTGGAATGCACCATGCACTGAGGATGCGCGTGGCTTTTCGAAATTCATGGTGGGTGGGGATGCGCCATGCGCCATGCGCCATTCCCCTTGTCTGCCTCATCCTTGAAGCAATCGCCCATGGTTGTCTCGCCCATCCCACGCGGCTACCCCCCCAACCTCAACTTCTCTACCCGTCCCCCCTCCCTTTTCACAGTCGTTGGTGCATTTGGGAATCTGTCAGCCTGGGGCAGCAGCATCACCAACGCCTCTGCTCCCCCCTTCCCCCCCCCCCCAATCCTCTTTCTTAGCATCAACTTATGACCACCTCCCCCCTTACCCCACTGCCACTCCCATCTATCCCCCCTTCCAGTCGCTGGTGCATCTGCGCCATCGGTCAGTGTGGGGCAGCAGCATCACCAACACCTCTGCGCCTCTCCTCCTCGCCTCTACTCTCACCGTCCTCTTTCCACCCCCCCCCATCCCTCCCACTCTCATCCCAGTCACTGGTCCACTTGCGCCATCTGTCAGTGTGGGGCAGCAGCATCACCAACGCCTCTGCCTCTCTCCTCCTCGCCTTCCCCCGTCTGCTCTCCGCCAACCTCGCCTGGACTGCCCTCTCCCACCTCCCCGCCCACCCCTCCCTCACCGCCCTCCACCTCTCCCACTGCCCCCTCGTTTCCATCGGCTTCCCTCTCCCCTCCTCCTCATCCTCATCCTCTCCCTCCTCTCACTCCTCTCAGCCCTCTCCCTCCTCCCCGCTCACTCATCTCGTTCTCTCTGGTGCCTCCATCGCCCCTCCCTCCTCCCTCTTCCCTCCTCACCTCCTCGCCTCCCTCACTCACCTCGACCTCTCCCACTCACGCGGCGCCACGCTCCCTCCTCCTCCCCCCCACCACCCTCCCCCACACTCCACTCCTCCCCTACGCCCTCACACCCCGCCCTGCGGGCTGCAGTGGCTACAAGCAGCGCTCTCCCTCTCACATCTGGACCTCTCCGCTGCTGCTGTATCTGACGCCCTTCTGCTGCACCTTGCGCACTCCCTCCCCCACACGGTCAGTTCCTCCCCATCTCTTCTCCCCCCCCCCCCCCCCCCCCCCCCCCCCCCCCCCCCCCCCCCCCCCCCCCCCCCCCCCCCCCCCTTCTGCCCACCACTCCGCCATGTGCCCTGATTAATCATTGCACCTCAACCCTCCCCTTTCTCTCTGTTCCGTTTTGATCTTCTTGGTTGTGTCTTCAGCGCATCTGTGTGTTTGCTTTCAGCGTCCTTGTGTGTGCTGCATCAGACTGAACTGAACCCACATGTGCTCCTTCCCCCTGTGAGAAACTGAGGTGTTGGTTTGATTAGAACGATGGTGGGTACATATAGGAGATGAAAAGTATGGGGAACTAGGTTGGGTACCCGCAACATTATTGGTGAGCCAATCGGAGTGGCCACCAATAATGTTTTGAAGGTAGCTGCCAATTATTGGGGGGCCTGGGTCTCCCCGCCAATTATGGCAGAGTGGGGTTGGGACGCGCCCAACCAAAACTGGTTGGGGCGCTTTGGCCCAAGGTGTACACCCATGTTTGGGTGTTACACTTGCACATTTACAACCCAACTGATGCTATAATCTAACACCCCCATCCACAGTTAATGCCACAAGGCACTACCACTCATGACGCACAAGGCATTACCGCCACTGCCACCAGCAGCACCAGCAGCACCAGCAGCAGCAGCACCACCCCTCCTCCTCCTCGCCACGCCTTCCCCTGGCAGCACCTGTCACTCACCTCCTCCCCGGACCTCTCCTCCAGGGGGCTGGCCGCCCTGCTGCCACTCACCCCCCGCCTCACCTCGCTCTCCCTCGCCCACACTGCGGTGTCGAACGCATGTTTGCCGCTACTCGCCTCCCTGCCACTCCTCTCCTCCCTCTGCCTCGACGCCTGCCCCATCTCAGGTGAGCTGGTGTGTGCTACGCGATTCTAGACTGCCTTGTGCATTTAGTGACATGGCATGTGGGACTACTGCAAGTGCTGCAACGGTGAATGACTAATAGCCTAGCCACATCTGCCCTCTGCCATCCGCCCTCTGCCCTCTGCCCTCTGCCCTCTGCCATCCGCCCTCCAGCCATTTGCATGTTCCATATGTCCTTTGCAACGTGGCCTATGCCGTTCTATGCGTTCATTTGTGTCTGCTGCTGTGCACACACATGGTTGCATGCCTGAGTCCCTCTGTGCCCGCGTGCCCGCGTACTCTGCATGCCTGCGTGCCTGCATGGCCGCTTGGCGTCACTCCAGGAGGCACATCGGATGACAATGTGGAGGATGGCGAGGAGGTGGAGGACGAAGAGGAGTTTCATTGTGTGTGCCGCCTTCACATGTGCATGGCTGCATGCATTGCTGCATGGCTGCATTGCTGCATGGCTGCATTGATGCATGGCTGCATTGATGCATGGCTGGCAACAGGAGGCACATCAGATGACAATGTGGAGGATGGCGAGGAGGTGGAGGACGAAGAGGAGTCTCTTCTGAGGCTCCATCTTGCGCACCTGCACGCAGCAGCAGCACCAGCAGCAGCAGCAGCAGCAGCAGCAGCAGCAGCAGCAGCAGTTGGAGCAACAGGTGGTGGTGATGCGTACACTGCTACCTCACAAGCGTTGGAGAGACAGTCAGCCATGGCAGAGGGCGGGTTGGCCGTGCTGGCCTTGCTGCCACACCTCACCTCCCTCAGCCTGCATGACACGCCCCTGTCCACACACGGCATGCTGGGTCTGCGCCATCTCACCCGCCTGCACCACCTCTCCCTCTCCTCCACGGCTTTCAGCCCTCGCCGCTTCCTCTCGCTCCTTGGTAACCCCACCACCTGCTTCGCCACTATGCTCTTCACCACCCTCGATTGAGCCCTTCTCGATTTAAGCCTCCTGCTTCTTCTCATCTGTATTGTGCAACCAGTCACCGTTTTCCTCTCATTCTCCTCTTATTCTTTGCTCATTCTTCGCCTCATCCTTCGCTCATTCTCCTCTCATTCTTCCCGATTCGTTGCTCATTTTGAGTGCTGCCTCACACTCTTGGATGTTCTGTGTTCTCTCCCCTTCCCCCCTCGCCCATACACCAGCCTTCTGTCCCTGCCACCACCTGCGCCTCTCCTCACCGCACATCACCGCGCACCACCTCTCCTCCCTCCGCCTGCACCCCTCAGTCCGCCTCCTTGACGTCTCCCTCCTCCCCTCCCTCTCCGCCTCTCCCGCCACGGCTCTTGCCAATCAGCTGGCTCCACGTGTCACTGTCCTTCATGCGTTTGACAACTGTCGCAGTCCAGGGGTGTTGATGCTGCAGCAGCGGGCAGAGGAGAGGAAGGGAGCACGGAGGCGGGAAGGAAAGGAGAGGAAGGGGAGAGATGGGAGCGTGGAGAGCGAAAAAGAGCGAGGGGTAGAGGGAGGGGAGGGGAGGGAGGGGCAGCAGATGGGGAAAGGGTCAGTTGGCAGTGATGTGGAGAAGGAGCAGAGGGGCCAGCAAGGGGGCGGTCAGGTTGGGACCTTTCCAGCGAACCTGGGCAGAGAAGGTGATTTTTTGGGGAGATGGGAATGAAGGAGAGCGGGAAGGCAGTTAGCATTAGTGCTTTATGGGAACTTTCAGTTGCACAGGTGAAGTTTCAGTAGCCGAGAGGGAACTTCCAGTTGCCCAGGTAAAGTTTCAGTAGCTGCGAGGGAACTTTCAGTTGCACAGGTGAAGTTTCAGTAGCTGAGAGGAACTTTCAGTTGCCCAGGTGAAGTTTCAGTAGCCGAGAGGGAACTTTCAGTTGCAGAGGTGAGGTTTCAGTAGCCAAAAGGGAACTTTCAGTTGCCCAGGTGAATTTTCAGTAGCCAAGAGGGAAATTTCAGTTGCCCAGGTGAAGTTTCAGTAGCCGAAAGGGAACTTTCAGTTGCCCAGGTGAAGTTTCAGTAGCCGAGAGGGAACTTTCAGTTGCCCAGGTGAAGTTTCAGTAGCCGAGAGGGAACTTTCAGTTGCCCAGCTGAATTTTCAGTAGCTGAGAGGGAACGTTCAGTTGCCCAGGTGAAGTTTCAGTATCGGAAAGGGAACTTTCAGTTGTCCAGGTGGAGTTTCAGTAGCCGAGAGGGAACTATCAGTTGCCCAGGTGAAGTTTCAGTAGCCGAGAGGGAACTTTCAGTTGCCCAGGTGAAGTTTCAGTAGCCGAGAGGATTCAGTTGCACAGGTGAAGTTTCAGTATGTGAGAGGGAGCTTTCAGTTGCCCAGGTGAAGTTTCGGTAGCCGAGAGGGAACTTTCAGTAGCACAGGTGAAGTTTCAGTAGTGTGGGCAATTCATCAATGAGGAAGAAGAGGGTGATTTCGAACAGGAAAGTGGCAGACCAAGCCGTAGGTTTCATGCTTCGCCCTTCCCCTCCACCTCTGCACATGATCTCAAACAGTGCAATCTCCAGGCCTTGCTGCCCTCACTGGAGTCATTTGAGGCAATCTTGAGAATTCTACTTTTTTTTTTTTCTCTGTTACCTCGTATACCCTCACTCCCTTGCTAGTAGCTCTTCAATCTCTTCGACCCCCCCCACCCACCCCTGGCAGATGAGAGGCGCAAATTCACCCCAGCTGAGCTCAAGTCCTTGCAAGGTGCTGCCCAGGCACTGCAGCTGCCTGTGCCATTGCCATCGCACCTCACCCACAAGCAAGCGTGGTAGAGGTCTATTCATTCCGTTGATCTGGAGCAATGTTGCCAGGTGGAGCCGTGTGGATGGGAGATGTTGTGATGTTGCTATGCAGATGAGGAATCTCGTTTTTCTATATGGTAGTCTCAAAGCACTCTTGGGTGCACTATTGGGGGAAGTGTATAGCACCCTATGTGCATTTATGTTTTCCGATACCGTAAAAAAAAAAGTTGTTTCTTTGCACACTGCACCATTGCCAGGCTAGGACTTATGATCACAGTATTTCAACAATGAATCCGTGCTGGGTGTAGATGTGTGTTGTCTACGTGCCCAGCGGCTTACTACGAGGCAAAGGGGCATGGTTCATAAATGGCCACGACGTGGCCACTGGCCCTTCTCTACTTGGCACTGAGTAGGCTTCCAATAATAGAATCCCCCTTGTTCGTGGGTTTTTTTCTCTATTGATGGAACTCCATGATTTGTGGTACTTGAGTTGGGTTTATCCTTGTGAGTTTGCATCCCAAGTCCCTTCTACTTAGGTAGCCGCAAATGGCATGTCAGCACCGCACGCAAGCAATCTGCCATGTGTGGGATGGGAGACCACATTCACAATGTCCTTACCCACTTCCACACTTCAACACGCACTCACAGGGCTTCAAATTCGTTCTTGGGCACCAAATTGGATTGGATTTTGCATGTGACACCTCAAGGACCTCATCATGAGGGTTGCATCTTTGATGCTAGGAAGGTTCTCACCATCCTTCTCAAGTATTTGGAGAGCCTTCCCTCACAAGGTTGTCTTGAAACCCCCCAACTCCTCATTCTCTGCTTAATGTTTGTTCTTCCTCCATCCATTCTAGTGAAAGCAGCAGCTATACGTTTTTACTTCGTTCTCAATCCTTAGACCATGAAATCAAGTGATTCAACTTGCAAATTGTAGCTAAGCCTAACGCGCGCAATCCTACCGAGCGGATTTGCGTTTAGTTGAGATTTGGGTTCGTTGTAAGTCTTCAAAGTGACCGGATCTTGTGCAACAAGTGGTATCAGTGCGGGTGGCCGACTTTGAAGCGACGAATCGTCATCGATTCTCAAACAATATTGACGAGTGATACCATTTTATTGTAGCTCTGCTCGCGATCTTTTGATTTTTGGCTGAATCGCATCCTAATTCTAAGTGCGCTAACCGTGACGTCGTTTTTCGTAAAAGCGAAATTTCTGGCAGAATCCTGTCCAAGCGATTTTTTCAAGGTTCCACCAAGCCTAAAGCCTCTTGATGGCTGAGACGGACTCCAGAGGTGCTAATGATGGAATGGCTGGGAGTGGAGAGGCTGGAGAGCAAAGAAGAGTAGTTGGTGGTGGAGTGGGAACTCACCAACCAACTACCCCTGTGCTACCCTCTTCCACTACACCGTCTCCTATATCCTCACCATCTCCTATCTCTATTGAGAAGTTCATGAGGGAGGATTATGAGCACTGGAGTTTCCGTATGAGGCTCATGTTTACCCAATATAAGTTATTAGATGTGGTGGAAGGAAAGGAAAGGATGCCATAGGCCGTGGACTTGAAAGGAGCATAGATAAAACGCTCATTTGATGCGTATATGCTCATGGTCCAAGCGGTTGGTGGACGCCAACTTGACCATATCAAAGGCCTATTGGGTGATCCCGAGTGTGGACCCAAGGCATGGAGGAAACTCCTTGATGTGTACTCACCAACACATGCTATGGGCATTGTGCTACTTGCGTGACGATTGCGCGACATCAAATTTGTTGATGGAGAGCCAATGCAGCCCGTGTTGGATGAGATGCGAGACATCTTCACGAAGCTCAAGAGTGGTGGCGTAGTCTACCCAGAGCTTGTTCAGTGCGTGGAGATCGTGATCCGACTTCCTGAGTCGTGGTCTGCCCTAGCCATCAACGTCAACTTCCAGCAATCCCAATGGAGTGTGGATTACATTCGTGCACGAATCCTTGAAGAGGATCTGAGGCGCCGAAGTGTAGAGCACTCAGGGGATGGTGCTGGTTATGGAGTTGGAGGTGGAAAGAGCGGCTTCAAAAGAAGAAAAAAAGGCAAAAAGAATGAGAACTCCCGAGAGGAGAATGGCGGAGGCCAAGGGGAGGTGTGCTTCAATTGCAAGAAGCGCGACCACCGTTGGAGAAAATGCTACCAACGGCCCCAAGATTGGACCCCGCCTTCCTCAAGCAACCAGCATGGTGGCAAGAGGAGTGGGGGAGTCATGGGAGCTAGTGGAGAGGAGAAGGATGACGTGAATGGTGGCAAACTTGAAGAGCGGAAGGCCAGGTTCTTCTTCTTCGTGAATAAAGGAATGACCGACCCCGCTATGGCTGCCAAGGTTCTCCTTCATCCCCTCACCCATTAGGTGATTGACTCTAGGAGCTCCTGGGATATGACTCATTGTGCAGATCTTCTTGATGAGATCCAGCCCGCTCCGATCTCTACAAGCACATCCGCGATTGGTGCCAAGGCCAAAGTCATGGGCATGGGATGCGCCAAGTTCATGGGAGCGGATGGTGAGCTTGTGGGATTGAAGAACGTGCTATGGGTGCCGGACTTGTGCGCGAACCTGATCTCGACTGGGCGATTGGGAGACGCAGGTGTGAACACCAAGACTATGGGCTCGGAGCGCTATCGTGCATACAACGATACGCGCCTTATTTGGAACCTGCAGCGCAAGGGAGATGTCCACAACCGCATGTGGCACATCCCGATTCTCCCTAATCGGGTAACACGGCTGCCGTGACCTCAATGGAGGAGTTATGTTGTGTGCAAAGTGAGGAGCTGATTGGCGCAAGCGCAGCCGTGAAGGCGTCAGCTACCTCGGGCCAAGCGGATTGGGAGACTTGGCATCGGCGACTTGCACATGTGGCTCTCTCCACTTTGGAGTTGATGCACAAGGAGAAGTGCGTACACGGCCTGCAAGTGCATGGTGATGGCGCTGCCTTTGGCGGCTGCGAGGCATGCATGCAGAACAAGTTTGTGCGATTCCCATTTCCACGTGTGGAGGGTTCAGCGAAGGCACCATTGGAGGTGGTGCACATGGACCTTGTAGGTCCTATGCGGACTGAGGGGACTGGGGGAGCATTGTACTTCCTCACCATGGTGGACGAATGGAGCCGATTCACATGGGCTCGTCCCTTGTCTAAAAAGAGTGATGCCGCTGCAGCAATCAAAGAGGATTGGCTGTAGATAGTTGAGCGGCAGTCCATGAGACTGGTGAAGGTGCTAAGGAATGATCGTAGTGGTGAGTTCCTTGGAACTGATTTCACCAATTTCCCCAAAAAGAATGGCATCCGACACCAGCTGACCTGCCCTGGAACACCGCAGCAAAACGGCATTGCCGAGCGTGCCAACTGGACCATTGGCGAGGCGGCCAAAACCTTGCTGGGGGCTGCTAGAATGCCCTACAAGTTCTGGCTTGACGCCGTCCGCCATGTCATTACGGTTAAGAACAGAGTCTTGACGCATGTTGGCGAGAAGCACTGGGTGCCGTATGAGCGTTGGCTTGGCAAGAAGCCAACCATTGACATGCTGCGCGTATGGGGCTGCATGGGTCTCGTGATGGTGCCTAAAGACTAGAGGCACAAGCTGGAAGTTGCTGCTGTGTGGGCTGTCCATCTTGGGATGGCTCCTGACTCAAAGGGGTGGCTGATGTGGGACCCGAAGAGCAAGAAAACGTTGGTCAGTCGTGACGTCAAGTTTGTTGAGGACGTCATGTACAAGGACTGGCAGCAGCAGCAGCAAGTGCAGATCGGTGTGCATCTGCAGGAGATAGAGCGGTCCGCAGTGGAGGAGGTTCAACTGCACCTCGATGATCTCCCTGGGTCAGAGCTGACAAGTGACCACAGTGGCGGTGGTGATCAGCAAGTTGCTGGTCGTGCTGCAGAGGAGGGGTTGGAAGATGAGTCAGTGCATGTGGACTCACCATCTCAGCCTGAGCCTGCGGTACAAGCCAAGGGCACGAAAGGGAGTGTGTAGAGAAGAGCTTCACCCCTTGGGCAGCAAGCTGCTACCCGCGAGAAGAGAGTGGCAGCACCACCTTCAAGGCTGAAATACAGCCGTTTGGGAGGTCCCAAACAGGGTGTCATGGCTGTTCAGGCTGATGAAGGGGATGATGAAGAGATGGCTTTTTGCTTCTTCACACCCTTGCCTGGAGAACCAGCCACAGTGAAGGAGGCACTCAATGGACCCCAGAAGGAAGAGTGGAAGGCTGCCATGGATGCGGAGTTCAACAGTCTCATTGAGAATGGAACTTGGGAGCTTGTTGAGCTACCCGAAGGGCGACGGTCCATCAGCAGCAAGTGGGTCTTCAAAGTGAAGACGGATGCTGATGGAGCACTGGAGCGGTTCAAGAGTCGCTTTGTTGCCAAAGGGTTTCAGCAGAAAGAAAAGATCGACTTCGGTGCGATTTTTGCTCCTGGTCACATTGAGGACTTTGCTGGCTGGCGCAGCTGTGAAGGGATGGCATGTGAAGCAGATGGATATCACCACTACATTCCTCAATGGAATACTGTTGGAGGATATCTACATGAAGCAGCCTGACGGCTATGATGATGGTACTGGCCGGGTGTGCAAGCTTAAGAAGGCTATCTATGGCCTTAAGCAAGCACCTAGGTGCTGGTACGAGAAGCTCGAGGAAGTGCTGCTGGCTGGAGGCTTCAAAACATCCCAAGCTGACCACAGCTTGTTCCTGCTCGGCGAGGGGGAGCAGCGGGTCTTGCTGCTAGTGTATGTCGATGACATACTATTGTTCGGGCACCTTCCATGGAGCAGATTGAGAGGGCTCAGAAGCTGCTTATGGACAGTTTCAAGTGCAAGATGCTTTTGGATGTCCATTATTACTTGGGGCTGCAGATTGAGCGAGATGTCGAGAGGAAGTGGCTGAAAATGCATCAGTCACACTACATCTCTGGCGTGATGGAGCGTTATGGTGTGACTGAGGGTCGCACTGTGATGAAGCCGTTTCCTGTAGGCTACAAGTTACAGAAAGCAGCTGAGGATGATGATGTGCTCGC